CTGAGGTGCTCTGAAAAACAGTGATGCAGGGCAGTACTCAGAGGTCTGGCAACCAGTTCATTTTTTCCAGAATTTTAAGACATAAGAAATTTGCTACATTCCTACACTTAGTCTTCTCTGTTATGCCCTATAGCATGCTAGCTCAGGCACAGCACTGCAAGCTAGACACAGCGAAGGCAGTGACTAAAGTCAGGGGTGTAATTATATTACATTGAATATAATGGTGTTCTAGGGCAGTGTTGGAACTACCAGGGTTGCAAAGGTTGCACTTGCGACCCTGGAGTTCTGCCACTGTGGGGAGTCAAAGGGGGCCCGCCGGAGTGCTGCCTGTTCAATAATCCTCTTAAGATGGGGGTGAGCGAGCTGATCCCTGAACAGGAGGTGACTGTACGGAGCTGAACGATTAAGGCAGGGAGCAGTTCACTTCCCTGGCAGGATACCAAGCCGGGAGCAAAGGGTGCTGGAGAGTGGCAGGTGGGGGGCCCAGATTTTTTGAGGAGGATGGTGAAGATGGATGTGTGGAGCCCCCTGACTGTCAGCTTTACCAGGAGACGGCTGGAGCTGAGCTGAGCATTGCAGTCCTAGAGAGGAGCTTCCTGGGGGAAGTAGTCAGCAGGATCAGGGTGAGGAAGGGCAGACCATTCCCTTCATACTGCCCAGTAAGTGTCCCCAGGACAGGGAATCAGAGTCACTGGGTGTCAAGGATCAGGGTCGTGAGGGGGGATCAGAGACACCGGGTGTGAGTTTTTAACCCCTTCCCATCCACCTACTGTGACCATTTAAGTTTTAAAGCAGAACTAAACCCTTCTATCCTTTACAGCACAGATGGTCAGGCATGAGCACTGGTGTGTTCAGACATGAGTCCAAGCTATCCTAAGCTATCCCGCTAAGAAGCTGTCACTGCAGGCAGCAAACCATAAGCAGCAGAGGCATTCCTCACTCTGAAGCCACATGTGGTCAAGAGGCGGATATATATGTCTCTGTTGCTTATGATTGGCAGTTTGCAGTGACAGTTTCTTGGCAGGATAGTTCAGGCGGGTTCAGATTCCTGTCTGAACATGCCTGAGCTTATCCCTAGTGGTGGTCAACTTGAAAACTACAGAGGGCCTCAAGTTCAGCCTCCAGAACTTTCAGTGGGCACATAGCAGTGCATTTTACACCTCAGTGCCCAAAAATTTCAGTCCTGCTACATTTTTCTGAGGCAGATCGCAATTCACACTGAAGAAGCTGCAGTTCAATAGTGCCCAACATTAGTGCCAGTGAGTGCAATATTAACCCCCAGCAGGCCTGGGACCAGAGGAAAGAGCCCCAGGACCAATGGAAAGGGCCCTAAGACTAGAGGGTCAGAAGGGCCCTTCATGGTTTCCTGCACTAGGGCACTGAAAGTTCCAGTTAAACCTCTGTTCTAGGCTATTACTACCTTTAATTTATAACACCAATACTGCTTATAGCTTCATATGGTAGTCAGTCCCTGCTTCATGAAAGCTTACAGTCTGGTTTACTATATGAACATGCCTATTAGATCCAATGCAAGCAAATTATGATCTGATAGTAGGTAGACAGAGGTACAAGTGGTTAGGATGCTCTTTGTCAAAACAGTATTTTTAAGTAAGAATATGCTGAATTAAGATACTTAGATACACTAGAAAACTTTATAATTCACTACTTTACACTACAGTACTCAGTGGTTTCCCTTGTAATATTTTACACTAAACAACATTTTTTTCAAATAGGCAAATAACATAACATTTTCAGTTTAATAAAATTCACTTAAAGTTTACCTATAGCCAAAAAGTTTTTTAGTTTTATTGCTGGCTGTGTTCCTGCTGGAGAGATGAACCCTCCCTATTTGTGCTCATTTTTCATTGCTGTGTTACTACACTTTGGTGTCCTTTTATGAAACAGAGATCAGCGGTGATCCTGAGGATCATTGCCGATCTCCGATCAATAGAGGTTTAGGAAACAGAGATGATGAGCGGAGAACATGTTCTCCGCTGATCATCTCAGCACACAGATGACCAGTATATGAAGGAGCGATCTCAGCCCTTCACTGGTGATCTGTGTTCTCCCTTCAGATTCTCCATCTCAGAGCTGGAGAATCGGAGGAACCGCAAACGAAGCAGTGATAATTTGCCGCTGTTTAGTAAACAGTGTTTGACTGATCTCTTACTGTAATCTCACGAGATTATAGTAAAAGCAGACGTTTTCCAGTGTTGAAAACGTTTGTAAATCGTTTCTCCCTTCATTCGGAGAAGTGATCTACACCACTTCATAAAAAGGCATTCAGAGGAGAACTGTGTTCTCCGAGAATGCTGGAGAACTGAGCAGCGGTCATTTACAGCTGCATGATAAAAGGACATTTTTGTTATTATAATTTGCTGTGCCTGCTGGATCAGTTCAATGTTTTTTAATACCTTGATATTGCCATAATATGTGGTCGGTACATTGACAAACAAGTCTGAAATATTGAAACACAAAGGGGTGATTTATGAAGATTAACATAAAAGTAGAACTATTTTTAATAGCAACCAATAACTATGCACTGAGTAAAGCAAGCAAATTCTAATTTTTTCCCTTTTTTCATATATCAGCCTTAATTTGGCAGTGCTATTTTTTACTCACAGTAATAGTCTATAAAGTCACCTCTGTTTACATCAGTTTATAATAAAAGTACTGGAACCTAATGGATCTAATGGGCATGTGTTCACAGTAAACTAGACAGTAGGCTCCCATGGAGTAGAAGCTGACTACTGTATGAAGCTATAGGCAGTTTATTGGTTTTATAAAGAAAAGCTAATATTTTAGATGTAAAACTCAGATGTGTTCTTTCATTTGCCAATAAAAGATGCAAAACCCCTATGTCTTTGTGTCTTTGTGTGTCTTGTGATTTTATTTTCTCGATATGCGTTGTGGAAGTGCATATACACCTGCACATATATATACTGTATATTTATTATATATATACATTTATATTTTCTCTGTGTGATATGTATGTATATATACAGTATATATATATATTTAAATTAAAATGTTTATATACCCATATTAACGTATTGACGGAAAAAAGTTGATGAAGTGATGAACAGATGAAGTTTATGAATTTTTTGAAGTTCCCCCTAAAATGGATACCAGATGGCTCTCTAAACAGGTAAAATGCAATGATTACAAATAATGTAGTATGTAGCAATAGGCCACTGGATATATTTGATCATAGTTCCAATTCATTCATTTCTTTTTTCCCCAGATTAGCAACATGTTTTCAGATTACATAAATGATATCATGACAAAAATGATATCATGTCAACAAAAAGGATTTCTAGAGGGAATCCAATTGAGGAAATGATTTAAATAAAATCAGGTTTGTATCTACATTTCTAACCTCAGGCTATTTAAATACTCCACTCTGGGTTGCAGTTAAATTTTTGTAGGGTCTTCCCACACTGCATGGGTTAAAGTGCATTTGGAAAAGGGAGAATGGAATAAGTACAAAAAAGTGCTTTATTCTTCACTCCTGCAGGCTACCTCCTCTTCATGAGACCGTTCCCCTAAACCTCACTTCCTAGCCAGTTACAGCTTTTTGATATCATCAATGTACAGTGAAAGACTAGTGTGCACATTGATTCTGTAGAACTGGACAGTGGCGGGGTTTGGTGGGGGAGTGAAAAATAAATAAGTATTCTCTGTAGCCAAACGTGCATTTAATCCATGTGGGTAAGTTTAACAACAGCCTCGAGTTAGACTTGAAGTAAACATTTACTTTTTAATTAAAGAGTAACTACACTTTTGTCAAGAAAAAAAAAAAATTCTTCTGGGTGATCTATGTACATTACAGGGATTTTAACAAACATTTGTGCAGATTCCTACCTTTTGTTATTCTAAAGAAACAGCTGTTTGTTTGTCTGTGTCCATGCGCAGAGTGAATCTAATCGGAGTGTATTTATAAATATTAATCAGCTGCTGCTCCTGCAGAGCTCTAATGAGGAAATCTGAATCCCAAGTATGCATCCCTTTAGACGTGATTTCCCTTTGGGAGTATCTCACAAAAAATTATATTTTTGTTGCAGGGGATGCCAAAAATCTGACTTGTATCTTAGTGCAGACCTCTAGATAAATCAGTAAACCAATTACACAAGCAGGAAATTACATTTTCAGGGGGCGTTCTGTATATCTGTATACAGAACGCCTCCAGGTAGCCATATTGCGTTGCATTTGACAGAAAATGACAGCTGTGCAGATTACAAAGGAAAGGTAATTTTTAATAACATTTAATTACAGTATGACAATATGATATGAGTTGCAACTGTATACACTATATATATATTTTTTTTTATTTGCTAATTTTTTTTTTCCCATGGAAGTGGAGTTACCCTTTAATTTATTTTTTATTGTCATAGCAATCTAGTTTTGACACTAGTAAAACAATTTTGATACCTAAATACATAGATGCTTGATGTGTGTATCTTTCAGTAATTTGTAGTATTTGTAGTATTATAGTGTTAATAGCATGCTGCTGCTGCTCCTGCAGAACTCTAATGAGGAAATCGAAATCCCAAGTATGCATCCCTTTAGATGTGATTTCCCTTTGGGAGTATCTCACAAAAAATTATATTTTTGTTGCATGGTGTACATATTGTAAAAATCCTATCTGTCCCTCCTTTATTAAACTTGTTGTTTCTGTTCTTAGAATATTGACATTTAATATGTTTATATGCTTTGTGATGAAAAGAGGGGTTTATTTGCTAAAGCTAGAGAGTGCAAAATCAGGCTCACTTCTGCATGGGAAATAATCATCTTCCAGGTTTTAATACCAAAGCTTAAAGTGTTACTAAACCAGGACCCTGCATTCACTATATCTTGTCTCCAACAGTGCACACAACATGGAAATGCAATTATTTTAGTAAATATAAACTGCTAAATACCTTTTCTCAGTAGTTAGCGCAGTCTTGTGACTTCTATCAGTGTTCAGCAGAGCACTGGTTAAAGCTTGTAGGAGGAGTTTTTCTCTAGGACGATGCAGAACCCCTGACCTCTGTCTGGGCAGTGCTGAATGGCCCTGTGCTGATCACATGCACTCTCCAAGCAAAAAAAAAAAAAAAAAAAAAACCTCTCTAGCAATACACACCAAACTGAGCATATGCAGTGTGTCCACACCATATGCCTTATCAGCAGATAAGAGGTAGACACTAGAAAAAGCAGAGGATCTGAGAAGTCAGGATCAAACAGCCTTTTTACACAATGCAGAGGATTTACCCCTAGGTTCCACAGTGAGTATAACAAGCATGCTTTACTGCATATACAGACTGATTTTACTGTTGTGGGTTTAGTAACACTTTATTTGAACAAGCTGAGGTTCTAAGCTGATTGATTTCCATGCAGAAGTGAGCCTGATTTTGCACTCTCCAGCTTTAGCAAATAAACCCCTTAGTGACCCTAGCGATTTGGATAAAAATGTTTGCTTTTTTTTACTATTTAGCAGTATTTCTGCACAGGGTAGAAGTCCATCTTTTGCTACTCCTCTAATCTACCATCCAAGACATACTGTACATCTATAGATCTACCACAAATACAAATTAACAGATTTAGCTAGTTAAGTGGTACTAACCACAGTCTCAAAAAACAATATTTTCAGCTTTAAGATTCATCTGTATCTGGATAGTGTGCTTTTGGACAGCATAATATTTAAATCATTCTGACAGTATGCAATATACATTGCAGTAGATAGGCTGTGTAGTGTTGCTATACAAACACTGATTTACTAAGGGAGTTGAGAATGTTCTAAAAAAGAAACTGTATGAATGTCATATTTAGTTACATAAGTAAATAGGGATTTTCGTTTCACATGATTAGATAACTGAAATTAATCTTTAGCCCCAGTTCACACTGCTGTGACTTATTGTGAGACTTGCAACACATAAAGTCGCATGACAAGTCAGAACACATTCATTTCAATGGGTGCCGTCTTAATCAACAAAAACAAAAGGTTCCTGCACTACTTTTCTGCGACTTGCATGCCATAGACACCAATGTTAAATCACAAAAGTCACAAGCAAGTCACAGAACGTTGAGGTCTCAGCAGTGTGAACCGAGCTTTTTTTTACTATTTATTGTCTGAACATTCTCTTCTCCGTTAGTAAATCAGCATTTCTGCAATATTCCAACATCATGAATACCCCTATTTCTGTCTGTGTAGGTTTTGCACTGCAGCATCCACTGCAGATTGAACTTGGAAGTGTTTTTCTATAGCAACAGAGTCCACATATTATTTTATTATTTTTTCTATAAATGAACATAATTGGTAATTGATCATTATGGAGTGCAATGCTATTTCATTCATTGGTCCTGTTCTATATTTGATTTTCACTGTGCAAGTGCAGGATTTCTGAATCAATAATCTAAATTTGACTTAAAAAATACAGTAGATGAAAAACAAGTTATACATTTAGAGTGGTTGTAAAGGCAGAAGGTTTTTTACCTTCATGCATTATATGCATGAAGATAAAAAACCTGTGTTCTGCTCCCCTCCACAGCCCCCCCCCAATACTCACCTGATCCCCCTCTTAATCCAGTGATGTGCATGAGAGCCTCAGCTGTCCCGGGACTCCCTCTCTTCACTGACTGAGACAGCATTGGGAGCTATTGGCTCTTACTGCTGTAAATCACAGCCAGTGAGCCAATGAGGAGAGAGCAGGGGCGGGGCCAAGCTGCAGCTCTATATGTCATAGACACATAGAGCTGGGTTTGGGATCGAGCACACACCAGTGCCCCCCATAGCAAGTGGTTTGTATGGGGGGCACTGGTCAAGGGGGACTAGCCAGGAGTGCCAGCAAGAGACCCAACAAGAAAAGGATCGGGGCTGCTTTGTGCAAAACCACTGCACAGAGCAGGTAAGTATGACAAATTTGTTATTTTTGTAAAAAAGCCTAATCTTTAAGTATTGCTTATCCTTCTGCTAACTACAACCAAAACTGCTGAGTTGTACCATTCTTATCTGTGAGCTGTCACAATAGTGGCACATGTAAAGACTCATAAAAGTGGGACAATAATGGGACATGTAGGCATTGACAAAAGACTAGACCCGTCACCCTTTCTCAACAACCACTTGACCAGCCACTGTGGTTGGGTTTAATCAATGGCGACTTTATATACTGTATGCCATTGTGTAGCTCTGTCACTGTATCTCTGGACTGAGAAGAAAACTATTAATATTTTTTTTTTTTTTTAACAGGGAAACAAGATTGCACAAGAAATGACTTGACACATCATCTTTAGAAAGTCCCATCGCAGTTTAAAAGAATTTAACTTAGTGTTTGGCAACCAATAAAATTATTCCAAAATGCTTGTGTCTGCTTGTGTTTTATTCGTATCTAAAGTTTAGGCTCGGAATTGCCATCCTGTATTTGTTTTTCTTTGTTTTCTTTTATCTACACCTTAACTTTTTTTCAGTGAGGAAAAAGACCAACAGACCACCACAGCTTTTGGTGTACCCTTGCTATCACTTTGGTCACGTGAGTATATCTGTTAGTTATATCACATAGAATAGGTTACTTATAAAACACCAGCCAAAAGTAATATCTGTTAATGATTACCAATAAAAGCCAAAAACATGCTTTAAATAGGTTTATATTGTACTTCTTTTTTATTTTGTTTTTTTGTTATACTGTAAACTTGTTATATATGTATAATGTGTACGTTTCTTGAATACATTTATAAGTACTTCCTGTTTGTCAAGTGCCACCAAGGAATGCTGAACAGCTGATGATACACCATTCAATATATTCTCACCTGCTGCAAGACTAAACCTTCTTCGGTGGCAAAACCTTCTAGGAGCATGCTGCCACTGATGCTACCAGACTTGCTTTGTCCAGAATGATATCATACATGCTGTGCATCTTGGAATCTGTTTGATCTTATGTATGTGCTGGTATGTAGAAATGTTGAACTAATCGACTCTGTGGATTTATTTCAGACCCTAGTATTCTCCAGAATCTTAATGCCGGTGAAGTCAAAACTTCAAGTGTGTATGTACAATGGACCCAGCCATTAGGTGGACCTGCAAATTATACAGTGACAGTATTTGGAGACCCGCCATTGTCGTACAACCTCAACTCGACAACGACAGCCATCAATCTAACCAGCCTCATTCCTGGCAACTTGTATATCATTGAGGTCTCAGCCAATGATGTGCCTTTTAACATAACTTTAAACACAGGTAACACTTACCCGCATGTTTACTGATACTGATCTCTGTAGATACGGATATCTACAGTGGGGATCGAAAGTTTGGGCACCCCAGCTAAACATTTGTATTAATGTGCATAAAGAAGCCAAAGAAAGATGGAAAAATCTCCAAAAGGCATCAAATTACAGATTAGACATTCTTATAATATGTCAACAAAAGTTAGATTTTATTTCCATCATTTACACTTTCAAAATAACAGAAAACAAAAAAATGGCGTCTGCAAAAGTTTGGGCACCCTGCAGAGTTAATATCTTGTACTGCCCCCTTTGGCAAGTATCACAGCTTGTAAACGCTTTTTGTAGCCAGCCAAGAGTCTTTCAATTCTTGTTTGAGGTATCTTTGCCCATTCTTCCTTACAAAAGTCTTCCAGTTCTTTGAGATTTCTGGGCTGTCTGTCACGCACTGCTCTTTTAAGGTATATCCATACATTTTCAATTATGTTGAGGTCAGGAGATTGTGAAGGCCATGGCAAAACCTTCAGTTTACACCTCTTGATGTAATCCCCCATGGATTTCGAGGTGTGTTTAGGATCATTATCCATTTGTAGAAGCCATCCTCTCTTTACCTTCAGCTTTTTCACAGATGGCAATCAAAAATTTTGCTGAAATTTTATTGAATCCATTTTTCCTTCTACTCGTGAGATGTTCCCTGTGCCACTGGCTGCAACACAACCCCAAAGCATGATTGATCCAACCGCATGCTTAACAGTTGGACAGAGGTTCTTTTCATTAAATTCTGTGCCCCTTCTTCTCCAAACGTACCTTTGCTCATTCCGGCCAAAAAGTTCAATTTTAACCTCATCGGTCCACAGAACTTGTTTCCAAAATGCATCAGGCTTGTCTATATGTTCATTTGCAAAGTTCAAACGATGATTTTTGTGGTGAGGACGTAGAAGAGGTTTTCTTCTGATGACTCTTCCATGAAGACCATATTTGTACAAGTATCTCTTTATAGTGGAATAGTGTACCACAACTCCAGTGTCTGCCAGAGCTTTCTGGAAGGATCGTGCAGTCAAACGTGGGTTTTGAATTGTTTTTCTCACAATCCTGCGAGCTGTTCTGTCTGATATTTTTCTTGGTCTTCCAGATGTTGCTTTAACTTCCACTGTTCCTGATGACTGCCATTTCTTAATTACATTCTGAACAGAGGATATTGACATCTGAAAACGCTTTGCTATCTTCTTATAGCCTTCTCCAGCTTTGTGAGCGTCAACTATTTTCAGTTTCAGTTTTCTAGACAACTGCTTAGAAGAACCCATGGTGCTGATTGTTGGGGCAAGGTCAGATGAGTCTGGGCATTTAAAACCTTTGAGATTGACATCACCTGGTCTTCCCAGACGATGATTGAGAACAATCCATGACACTGGCAGGTCTCAGCTTTGCAAAGGGGGCAGTGCATGCTATAAATTCTGCACGGTGCCCAAACTTTTGCAGACGCCATTTTTTTTGTTTTCTGTTATTTTGAAAGTGTAAATGATGGAAATAAAATCTAACTTTTGTTGACATATTATAAGAATGTCTAATCTGTAATTTGATGCCTTTTGGAGATTTTTCCATCTTTCCTTGGCTTCTTTATGCACATTAATACAAATTTTTAGCTGGGGTGCCCAAACTTTCGATCCCCACTGTATGTACTTGAAACATGTTTTATCTTTGATAATGTTCAAAAGAAAATGCCAAGGTAGTAAGGTTCCACTGACATGTTGTTTTTAACTCCATCTTTATTTGGGAGTAAAGGCCAGGATTCCCACATTATTTTTGAAAAGTCAACTTAATCATTAACATAGTTTTAAGACGAACCATTTTCTTTCTTTTACAGAACCTGGACAAGTTCAGAATCTTACAACTAATTTTAACACAACTTCTATAACTTTAACATGGCAACAACCTGAAGGGAATGTATCTTATTATGTAGTTCAGATGGTTGGAAGTTCATCCTCCTTTAACACCACACAGACAACTTATACATTTGAAAGCCTGACACCTGGAAATAATTACATGTTTTCGGTGCACTCTGTTGCTGGTAATCAAAGTGGGCAACAAGTAAACATAGTTTCCTACACAAGTAAGTGTTTGTTTTTGGAT